TCTTCCACAAACCCTGGCTGCTGCTTTTTCTTTTCTTTTTCCCCTCAAGCTATGGTTGCAAACATCACACTTAGTACATTTTAAATGGAAAGTGGATGCTCCTGCATACTAATTCCTTCAAGCTGTGTTGTCCTTTTCCAGAACAGGATGCTTATGGTAAAATAAAAAAAAAAAAAAAAAAAAAAAAAAAGCAAATACAGGTTGTTTTCTCTGTCATTAACTCGGTCCAGATTGAGGTGAATGGGTGTCACTACTTTGCAGTTAATACCACAGCCCAGGCAACAGGTTCGAAGTCCACAAGAGGACCAGAGAGCAGGGAGGCAAGGTCTTCGTAACGAGCATCATAACTTTAAGATGACCCCTCCAAGAGTCAGCTCCCATTGAGCCCAGGGATAATGTGATAGGGAAGGCGATATTCTTTGCTTAGACTTTCTGTCCACTTTTGAGCTGAAGGGCAGAAGGCAGCTGAGAGACAGAGAGATGAAGTGCAGTGATCATACAGATTAAAGATGATGATAAATATGGGAGCGGAAAGAAAGCTCCGCAGGCATGCTAGCTCCAAGGTCATCACCAGCTTCAGCTGAAGGAGAAAATGAACTGCCACCAGAGGAAACGCCTGCTCCTCTGCCAAGCTGCCACCTTAGGTTTTATGCTGGAGAAATGATCAATAGCTGCTGGCAGCCTTTGGTTCTGTGCATTCAAGAACATCTAAAGACATTCATGACTGAAGATCAGTCAACTATGTAAAGCACCAAATAACTTCTCGGGATCTGCAGCTGCTAAAAATACATACACGTATTGTCTGTGTGCCCCAGGAGCAACACACCCCACATTACCCTGCCAGGGAAATGCAGACAAGGCAGAACGACAGGAGCGAGCAGGGCACAGCAGGGTCCTGGTAATTAAAGACACTGGTAAAAAGGAAACTCAAAGAAATCAAAGAATGTAGCAGATCATCCAAATAAAGCCTTTACAAACCAGCACTTCAGTAAGCTATCGCTGCAGCTCAGTGGGCTAGAAGAGGTACTCATTTCTGTGGGCATTAGTTGAAAGTCAGCATTATTACAGGGAACATAAATGTGGTGAGATCATTCTGTTCTGTTGTCAATACACATTAAAAACCAAAAAAACAAAACAACAGCACAGAGCCTAGGAGAAGAGGGGTGTGCTGGCTGGAGAGAGACCAAGGAAGGAACAGACTGCAACTAGCTAAACGATGCTGCTCAAGATACAGAGTTATATCCAGAGCACTTGCCCACAATATTCTGGGTATATGCCAGTGCAGTTTGTTCCTTCCCACACAATGGTTTTGTGGGTTTTCAGGTTTGGTTTTTTTTTCCCAAGAGAAGAAAGTTCAAATAAGCTACAAGGAGATTCCAAACCATAGTGTCAAAAGGGGATGAAATATCTTAGAAAACATGAGTGCAATAGGAAACCTCCAAGTATTAGGACTAGCAAGCACCCAAGCACTCCCAGAACTGGGTCAGCTGTTGCTTCCCCACCTGCTTAACTCCTCATGGTCCTGCCATAACTCTTCTCTCTT